TACACGACCCCAGCTCACACACTGGCCAAACCACTGACCACTCCCCCAGCCTCTCCTCCCCATCCTAGACCACTAAACCTCCTTTTCCCTTAGATCGGAGACCAACTTGTGTCAGGCAGTGGTGGTCCAGGGGCCTACGGCCTAGGATTCCCCTCCGGGAGGGCTCTGGAGGGATGAGGGAATAATTGCCCGACCTCCCGGAGGGGCCCACAGACACTCACCCTCCATCCCTAGAGGCGGCGGTTCCGGGTGCTCGAACCGGAAGCGGCCCATACAGTGTTTGCAGTTCCCCTGGTTACTGTGAGGTTCCGGACCAATAGCTGTGGAGCTCCACCCATTGAGCCCGCCCCCAGATGGGTGACGTCACACCGGCGCGTTGGAACTTGGATCCACCTTCCTGGGCCTCCCAGTGCACTGCGCAGGCGCGTGGGCCTGGCTTCTTCGCGACGTGGTGCGCAGGCGCCTCGGGCGCTGCTTACCAGAGTAGCAATGGACGCCTTGGAGTCGTTGTTGGACGAAGTGGCCCTGGAGGGGCTGGATGGCCTGAGTCTTCCCTCACTGTGGAGCCGTCTGGAGACGCGAGTGCCGCACTTCCCGCTGCTTTTGGAGCCCTACACTCAGGAGTTTCTGTGGCGGGCCCTTGTTACGAACCCCGGCATCACCTTCTATGAGAATCCTCGAGAGCGACGCGACCTCCAGCTCCAGGACCGGTGAGCGGCCTGGCCCCGCGGGCGGGCGGGCGGGAGAGCCGGCAAGTGCAGAGCCCGGAGTCTAACGGAGCTGGGAAGGGACGGAGGAAACGAGCAGAGTCGAGGGAGGATCGGAGCCTGATGGGGGAGGGGCGGGGTGGGGACTTTGGTTCGGGGTCTCTCCGGGCCTGGCAGGGCCCAGGAGTCTGATGGAGTTGGGGGCGCATCTCATGACGTCCCATGTCCCGTGTGCTTAGAGATAGTGATGAGCCGTAGAAGGGTACTTCTAAAAGTTCATGGAAAATGAAATTTTAGTACGAGGTGGGGTTTTTTGGTGCAAAAGAAATTAGGAATCCATGGGACCAGCAGATGGCGTAATTGTTACATCGTCGCTGGACTCCCACGTAGTTGACTGCTGTTTTGGACCCGCGGCTTAAAACTCATGCCAGGTGTGTGTGCGTGTCTGCCCCAAATCCCAAGGGGAGAATGGAGAAGTGATTGAGGCCTGGCTATGCCCTGGGGGGGGGGTTATCACATTATGTCTCTCTGTGTCTCTGGCAAGCGCGTTTGCCGTATAGTAAAAATCTCTCTCAAAAACAAAAAGGAATCCATGCATAGTTTTTTCATAATATGCGTTTTCTGTGAACTTCTGGAAGACCCTCTTGTATTGTGAGGATCAGGGAAGATTCTTAGCATTAATAACGTCTAAGACAACACTTAAAAGGTTAGACTTAGGTGCCCAGTTGGCAAAAGAGTGCTCTGGACAAAGAGAAATAAGTTTGAAAGCTTGAAGGAAGAGAAATCAGTGTGGCTGAATTGTAGAGTTGGAGTAGACAATGAAGAATAATAGTTGACACGTTCTTATTATGAGCTGGGACTGTTCTAAGATCCTTAAGTATAACAAGTTATTTAATTTGAACAACAATCTTAGGAGATGGATATTATCCTCATTTTCCCAAAGTGAAAATTGAGGCGCTGAGGGGTTAAGTGACAGCTCTAGGTCATCAGCTAGCAAAATCAGAAGCCAGTTTCGGTCTGCAATCCCCTTTGCCCTTAAACCGAATTAGACTGGAGAGAGAGTCAATAATTGCTTAATCTACATAAAGAGTTTATCCTTTATCAGAGGAGAGTGGGATACTGTTGTAAGAACAAAGCTGAAGTTAGGAGATTTATAATATTAATGATTCAGTTACACTATGGTTAAATGACTGGCTTGCCATGTAGTGGGCGTGGGAATGAGGGGAAAAAGATGTAATCAACACCTTTTAGACAAAAGGGTCAAAAGGATTTGGTGACTGATCGGATGTAGCGGTATAAGAAAAGGTAGGAATCAAAGATGATGCCCTCCAGTGCTTGCTGCTGGGGCCTCTGAATAAATACTAATACCCTTCCCTAAAGTAGGGGACATAGAAGAGCCACACAGTTGTTGAGTCTGGGGGAGGTGGGGAAGGTGCTGCATGTATTGGGTTGTCAGAGAAGTCAATGCATTTTTGCATAGAGAAATGGAAGAATGTGTCACGATTTTTCCCATGACCCAAGTACTTAGAGATACATTGAGTTTGAGATTCTCATGGGTTGTCCAAGTGAAGATTCTGTTTAGTAAACATGACTTCAAGGAAGAGAAAGCAAGTCAGAGGGGACAACTGACTTAAACATTTGTGAGTTATCTCATAGTTGGTAATTAAGCTTTTGGCTACGGTCATCCCTAGGAGAGAGTGTAGTGTGGTTGGAGGTCCTAAAACATAACCCCGAGGTACACCCAGGTTTCCAGCCTGGATGGAGGAGGAAATCTTCAAAGAGAAGACTGGAGAGATGCAGCTGGAGAGGTAGAGGATAGTCAGGCCAGGGTAGTGTCGTGGAAGATGTGGAGAAGACCTGATTTGAGAACACAAGGTTACATGTCCTGAGGTCACAGGCAAGGCATGAGAAAAGGGTTAAACAATGTATGTGGGTGGCCCACCCATGGTCTGGTGGTTCAAGTGGCTGGATCCCACTTGGGCGATCGCAGTTCAAGGCTTGAAAAACCTGCCGGGTGCATATTTGTGCCCAAAATCCCGAGAGAGAGAGAGAGAGAGAGAGAGAGAGAGAAGGGAAGGGATTGTGATATGGCCATGCCCTGTGCTGGGTGTTTTCTCTTTCTCTCTCTCTCTGACAAGTTAAAAAGAAAAATAAATGTATATGGGATTTGGCCTCCATAGGCTAGTGCAGGAGGTAAGCAAGGTGTCAAAGAAAACTTGACAAACTTGGCTGACTGAAGAAAAGAGGAAACGCAAGTCAAAGATGTCTCCCGGGTGTTGGTAAGAGGCAACTGGGAGAATATGGTATCCAAAACAAAGGAGGGACTTGATTAGGGATGGAGCGAGTCAAGCCCCCCCCCCCCCCCAATAGCTGGAGGACTCCTGCACTCCACAGAGAGGGAGGGAGAAAGCACCCAGAATGGGGTGTGATTGTGCTGCAGTCTCTTCTCTGTTTCTCTGTTTTGGGGATTTAGGGCACACAATACATGTGTGCCCAGTGTTTTTCAAACCTCTGGGGCTGGAATTCAAACTGTGTGTTCAGCCATGTATGATCCAGCTCCCTTAACCACTAGGTTTTGGGCTGGCCCATAGCTTTGGTTTTAATTTCCTGGGATGTGAAATGTATGATAGACAGTTGAAGACATAAGATTTGGCATTTGTTGGGGACGGGGGAAGACAGGATCAAGGATTCAAAGGGAGGATTGTTAATACATAGGTGATAATTAAAACCTTAAAAGTGGGTGAGAAGACTAGATGCAATATGGAAAGAGGCCTTTTTTTCCCTTCCCATTTGCCATAGAGCGTGTGTGCTCACTGGAGAGAGGGAAAGGAAGAGGGTAGCAGGAAAATAAAGAAGTATCCCCTGGGGACAAGTCCATGCCACAGTCTCTTTTCCATTCTCCTCTTGGGATTTTCACCCAAGCGCCTGGCCTGTTTTTAAAGCCGCCAGGTCCAGGACTAAACTGCATAGTCGGCCATGTGGGATCCAGCCATGTTAACCACTGTGCCACTGCTGGCCTGAAGAATGATGTCGTAAAGGAAGAAAACCTTAAATCATTCTGTCTAAGCCTAGTGATCTGTGGACCAGACAGCTGACTGGAAGGGAAACCAAAAGGCCAAGACTTGGGCGATGGTTTTGGTTGAAGCACCCAGCTTCTACGGTAGTTTGGGGGAAAGTTCTGTGTTCTCAGGGATTGAAAGGCAGAAACCTGCTTGTCCAGATTGACTGCACTGGTGAGGCAGGAAGACTGATCTCACTTATTCTCTCTGATCTCTGCTGGAGGTTGTCAAAGAACATACCAAGCATGCATTATTTCTGAAGGTGAGTTGGATTTGATATTTGTGCTTTTTTCCTTAGATATGAAGAAATTGACTCAGAAACTGGTATTTTGGAATCCAAAAGGGACCCAGTTCCTTTGGAGGATGTCTACCCCATTCATATGATCTTAGAGAATAAGGATGGCATCCAGGGCTCATGCCGGTACTTCAAGGAGAGGAAAAACATTACCAGTGACATCAGGTCCAAGTCTCTGCAGCCTCGTTGTACCGTGATAGAAGCCTATAACAGGTAACAGATTAGCACCCTCAGAATTTGCCGGGGATATAGGGTCTGGGTGGTGGTGCAGTAGTCGTGTGTCTGGATCCACTTGTGAGATGGCCTGGGTTTGCCTCCAGGGACCTCCCTGGTCCCAGTCTGGGTTCTGGGTCTGCTTAGACTGAGGCTGGATTGCAGTGTGGGGACCCTGTTGAGGGTGCCTATCTTTGTCTCTTTCATGGAAGGAAAAGTAGATGGGTGAACTTTGGAGAAATACAAAAAAGGCTTTCCTGGGATTCTAAGCCAGGGTATAGTCACCGCACTTGGATCTGCCTCACGTCTATGGGAATTTACCAGCCAGGCCTCAGCCTTCTTCATTGCACTCCTCTAGGGGCTCATCGAGGTCAGGGATTCTGCCTTTCCCTTTCCCTTGTGTCCACAGTCCTAGAACAGCTGGGGTTGGTAGATAGCTGGCATTTGGATGGCGCCACCTTCTCTCACCCAAGCTGGGCCCTCTGCAGCCCAGACACCCTTTTGTGAGGCTTTAGTCAGTGTCCCAGTTTCCCAATGTGACTAACCCAAATTGTCATTTTTTCCCAAGCAGCTAAGCCCGTTCCCACCTCCCTAATTTACAGGATAGTGTGAACTCCTAACATCCACTTCTTTTCTTGACTTGCAGACTTTTTCACATGTCTCTTCTTCTCTCATCTCAGAGGAGACAAGAAATGTTTGTGCTCTGGATACTTCTTTTCCTCCTTTTCTGCCCTGTTCCCAGCCCAGCTCCCTGTGCCTCTGCTCCTTCCTACCTGTGCCAGTTAGCTTGTGTTTGTCCTTGATTTTCAATTTTTGCCTGACTTCTGGTGCTTTCATCTCAACACACGAACATAACTCGCCCATCATGACAGCCTACTCTTGACCACACATCCCCTGTAACTATCTTCCTCTCTGCAGCCATGCTTCTCAGAAGATACAGCTACATTTACTATTTCTGCCTCCTTCCCCTCCCTTTCACCCCTCTGCCTCCTGTAGTCCAGGTTTCCACCTAATCATTTCACCACACTGTGGCCTCTAAGATCTTAACTAACAGGCCTGTGGACCCTGCCACAGTGTTGGGGCCTCTGGAAGCCCTTGCCCTGTTTGTTTTTCTACCTTTCTCACTGTTCTGCACAGGCTTCTTTGTGGACCTCTGCTTACTGCTCCCTCTCACATGCTCTCAGGGCTCTATCTGACCCCAGAGCTCTCTCCCAAGTATTAGTGACCTACCTCTTGCTCAGTGTGATCAGCACTCTCCCTCACCCCACACCCACCTTCTCTTCCTCTTCTATTTTCTCATTTCCTTATTCAGGTCAATGGTATTCCTGTGTACCTGGCTGTACAGGTCTTAAACTTGGGCTCTTTCTCAGCTCTTTCTCTCCCAAATTTATAGGTCCAGTTGACCCTTGAGTCCTATAGAATGGACCTACATTTCTCATACTTTTCATTCTCGAACTAATGTGATAGTCTCCTCTCTCCTCCATTCTCTCTCTTTTTAAATTTTTTTAAATTAAATGTTATTTATTTATTTTTAAAAATTTGACCAGAGAAAGACAGAGAGAGAGAGAATGAGATACAGAAAGAAAAAGCAAACCACCAGATTCAGGACTTAAACCGTGGTCAGCCATGTGCGAGTCCAACCCCTTAGCCACCATGCCACCCAGGGGCGAGTCCAACCCCTTACCCCCCATCCCCCCTGCCAGCCCCTCTTCTCTCTCTCTCTCTTTTTTTTTTTTTAAGAATTACTTAATTTTATTATCATTATTATTATTATTTTAATTTGTTACAGAGCATGCACACTTACCAGAGAGAGAGAGAGAAGGAGAAAGAGAGAGAAGGAAAGAGGGAAGTGAGAAAGCAAGCTGGGACTTGAACCACAGTCAGCCATGTGAGAGTCCAGTGCCTTAACCACCTGCTGCTCCCCTCTCCTTTATTTATTTATTTATTTTTAAAGAACTATTTTCTGGGGGACCGTCAGTTTGTGTGGTGGCTATGTCACTGGACTCCCATATAGTTGACTGCGGTTCAAGTTCCAGACCCAGTGGCTTAAACTCACGCCGGGCGTGTGTGCGTGCATGCCCAGGATCCTGAGAGGAGAGTGGAGGAGAAGGGATTGCGGCATGGCCATCCTCCCGGAGGGTGATTTCTCGCTTTCTGTCTCTCTGGCGATTGCATGCACCCTATAGCAAAAACCTCTCCAAAAAAAGAAAGAAAGAAAAATAATTATTTTCTTTAACTTTATTTATTTATTTACTTTGACCAGAGAGAGACAGAGCAAGAACAAGATGGTGGGGGAGTGAGAAAGCAAGTCATTAGATCCAGACTCAAACAGCAGTCAGCCATGTGGGAGTCCAGCACCCTTAACCACCACACTGCCTGCTGGCCACATAGCATGGACACAGTCAGATAATTGGCAGTAGTTAACAGAAATGTTGGAATTACAATATTACATTATCATAAACTAATCTGAGTAATAAAATTTTAAAAAGTAGCACATCAGTTCCCCTGTTTTCAAACATTTTTTCCCCAGCTGACCTCTTATAATTTAACTTAGTGTGCTTGTTTTGAGAAAAGAAAACACAGGTCCTAAATGTATAACATTCAAGCACATGAAGTAGACTCCCGTTCATGTACATTCACAACCTTTCTTTTTGAAGGCAGACTACACAGACTTCATGCCTTACGCAAAGACTAATTATAGGTTATACACAATGTGAAGGAAGATGCAGTTAAAACAAGCAGAGTCATCTGGTGTGAAGAAGGAAGAAGGTCGGAATGAGCTGAGTGGCGTGACAGCAGAGACCTTGTAACCAGGTGTCTTACACAGCGACTGGGAAGAGTGAATGTTGCTACAGATGGAGAGGGATTGGTAGCCCGTATATGTGGACTCTTTAAGTGACCCCTTTATCTGAGAAAGTGGGCTCCTCCAGTTGGGTAAACTTATGCCAAGAAGCGAGTGAGAGATGGGTTATCTACCAGCATATCTGTGAGATCTCTGTGCCAGAGATCGAACCCTGAGAGTGTATGAGTAGAACAGGTCACCTTCAAGATACCAGTTTTTAGTTCTGTAGGCAAGGCCTTGTAGTAGCATCAGGCCTCAGCAGAGAAATTAGTCTTTTCCATTGGGGTTAGCAAGTTTTAGGCATTATTCATCAAGTCATTAGGAGGAACTAGTGATTTATTTAAGATCTGGTCTGTAATAGTGAAGCCCAACCTAGACTGGAGGTCAGCTGGTTACACAGTTGAAAGTTTGTGACTGAAGTTTTTTGTTTTTGTTTTTTTTTACCTGTCCTGTTCCCTATGCCAGCTCATTCACTTAACAAGTTCATACAAAGTCTCTGCTTTACACCCACGGTATTTTAGGTGCCAAGGATAGCCTGGAGAACTAGTTGACAGCATGCCTGCTCTGTGGAACTTAGGTTTGAAGTGAGAGAGACTTAGATGAGGACGCCAGCCTAAAAACTGCCCCTTTCTGAGTGCTAACTGCTGTAAGAATATGAGAATGGTTGGGGTGGGGCTGGAACTCTAGTTAACATTTTCTGAAGAATTGACAGCTGAGCCTTGACTTCCATGATGAAAAGGAATTGGTCTAAAGATTCAGGAAGAGGAACAGCCAGGCAGAGAAAACAGCAAGGGTAGCAACCCTAAGGCTTATTTTTTGGGAAGAAGGCCATGCTACTTTGAGTAAGGTCTGGGTCATGGAAGAAAAATGAGTGAAACATGGATGACCAAATTGTGTAGGGCCTTCTAGACCATGATGAGGTTGGATTTGGCTGGTACCTTGGCAAGCCCTGGGAGGACTTTAAACAAGAAAATAGTAAGATTGACTGTTCATTCACCACACTGCAGTTCTAAGACTAAAAACTGGCTTAGATTAATTTGGGAGTGTTGTGGATTCCTGAGGGGAAAAAAAAAGCAGAAATGATTATTCTGGCAGGCTCTACTTTTTCATATTTTTGTTTTCCTTAATTAAGCTTTGGGGACAACAAGTGGCATGGTGGTTAAGGTGCTAGACTCCCAAATGGTGACCATGGTTCAAGTCCTGGACCTAAAGACTTGAAGCTCATGTCGGGCATATGTACATGCATGCCCAAAATCCCAAGAGGAGAAGGGTCTGTGGTGTGACCATCACACCATCACTAAAGATTCAGGAAGAGGAACAGCCAGGCAGAGAAAACAGCAAGGGTAGCAACCCTAAGGCTTATTTTTTGGGAAGAAGGCCATGCTACTTTGAGTAAGGTCTGGGTCATGGAAGAAAAATGCGAGAAACATGGATGACCAAATTGTGTAGGGCCTTCTAGACCATGATGAGGTTGGATTTGGCTGGTACCTTGGCAAGCCCTGGGAGGACTTTAAACAAGAAAATAGTAAGATTGACTGTTCATTCACCACACTGCAGTTCTAAGACTAAAAACTGGCTTAGATTAATTTGGGAGTGTTGTGGATTCCTGAGGGGAAAAAAAAAGCAGAAATGATTATTCTGGCAGGCTCTACTTTTTCATATTTTTGTTTTCCTTAATTAAGCTTTGGGGACAACAAGTGGCATGGTGGTTAAGGTGCTAGACTCCCAAATGGTGACCATGGTTCAAGTCCTGGACCTAAAGACTTGAAGCTCATGTCGGGCATATGTACATGCATGCCCAAAATCCCAAGAGGAGAAGGGTCTGTGGTGTGACCATCACACCATCACCCCCGCCCTGGGGCAGGGAGTGATTTCTCACCTTCCCTTTCACTCTTTCTCTCTGGCAAGTGCACTCACCTTATGGCAGAAAACTTTAAAAAAAAAAATCCGTTTAACTGTGTTCTTCATGTGTTTATTTCTGATTGGCAGGTGGGGCAGGAAACTGATCATCGTTGCCTCCCAGGAGATGCGCTACAGGGCCCTGATTGGTGCGGAGGGAGATCCTGATCTGAAGCTCCCCGACTTCTCCTACTGCATTTTGGAGCGATTGGGTCGGTCCAGGTGGCAGGGGGAGCTCCAGCGAGACCTTCATAGCAGTGCTTTCAAGTAAGGGGGATGAATTGCTTCTCTGCTTTAGACTGTGGGGTTCACTGGTCATTATGCCCTGCAACCCAATTGCAGTGGCCTGCTGCCTTCTCTTTTCGAAGGCATCGGTGTTTTCCCAAAGCCATTGTCTCACAATGACTGTTCTCTCAAGTTGACTAGATAGGAGGTGTTCTGTCCCTGATGTTTTTGTCCAAGTGCAGTAAAGTAACCAACAAGACAAAATGGCATGTCCTGTGCTCTTTTTTTCCCCCAGGGTTGATGCTGGGAAACTTCACTATCATAGGAAAATTCTGAACAAAAATGGGCTCATTACCATGCAGTCCCACGTCATCCGATTACCCAATGGAGCCCAGCAGCACTCAATTCTCCTCCTCCTGAACCGATTTCATACGGACAGGTATGGTTTGTGGAAAATAAAAACATTTTATTAGTTTTATACTGCTGCCAGTTGTATTGTGCCTTTAAAAATTGTAGAGGACAAACAGAATATGACTATAGCTTGAAAAAAAAAAAAAACAGGACCAGCAGATGGCATAATGGTTACATCATAGCTGACCGTGGTTTGAGTCCCAGACCTGGTGACTTAAAACTCACATGTGTCTGCGCCCAAGATCCCAAGAGGAGATGGAGAAGAAAGGATTCAGGCATGGCGATCCTCCCTGGAAGGTGATTTCTCACTTTCTGCCTTTCTGTCTCTCTGGTGAGCACACTTGCCCTATAACAAAAATTTATCTTAAAAAAAAAAAGGAATTGGGGATCGGCAGGTAGTGTGATGGCTAGGGGTTCTAGACTCCCACATGGCCAACTGCAGTTCAATTCCTGAACCTGGTGGCTTGGTTACTCTCACTCTGTCCTTCTCTGGTGAAATGAAAATAAATAAATAAGGACCAGCAGTTGGCATAATGGCCATGTCACTGGACTTCCATGTAGTTGACTGTGATTCGAGTCCCGGACCCGGTGGCTTAAACTCATGCCATGTGGGTGTGTGTGCATGCCCAAGATCCTGAGCCCAAGATCCTGAGAGGAGAATGGAGAAAAAGGGGTTGCGGCCTGGCCGTCCCCGCCCCCGTGGGGTGATTTCTTGCTTATATCTCTCTGTCTCTCTTTCTGGCAAGTGCACGCACCCTATAGCAAAATCTTCTCTACCACAAAAAAAAAAATAAA